ACCATCATCTGAGCCCTCCCGCCTTCCATGAGTCCCAGCTGGTGGGGCTGGCAGGAAACCGAAGTGCTCTGAGGGGTGGGGACGTGGGCAGGGATCCCCAGCACAGCCCTGGGAAGGGGCTCCTGGGGACCCCAAAGCAAACAGAGCTCAGCTCCTGACTCATCCCAGATGGTGCCCGCTGGGGCAGTCAGCAGAGAGGAAACAGGCAGGCAGCAGTGCCACCCTCCAGCAGTGCCACCCAAGCTGGAGCTTCCCCACAGCTCCCTCTGCGTTGTTCTTCCTCCTTGTGTCATCCCAGAAGGGCTGTGGCAGAGGGAGGCAGCCCTGCCCTGCAGGCTGGCCCTTCTGTGATGGCTCAGCCCTGGAGGCAGCTCCAATCCCAGCCCAACACAACAGCAACCACATTTCACAGCAGACAGACAAACCACAGCCCCCCCCAGCCCGGGCCCAGACTGCAGCGGGAGCTGAGCACTTACAATTTCCCCCAGCAGCACCACATTCTCGCCCCTCACCACGAAGATGCCCCGAGGGATGTCCCCATACTTCTTGCCCACGTGGATGCGCTCCACAGTCTGGTGCAACACCAAGTTCGCTGCAGCAACGAGACAGAGAGAAACAGCGACGTTCCACCGCGAACTGTGGCTGAGCCGCGTCCCCCGCCCACCGGGGCAGCACCGGCTCTGCCCCGGCACTCGGCGGCTGCCCGGAGCCGGGTCACCGAAGCCACCGACACTCTCCCCACCCAGCGAGCCCCCAGCCCACCGCAGCACAGATGATGATGATGGCGATGCTGGTGCTGCAAACTCCAGCAAGGACGGAGCATGGACATCACCCGGCTCCTTCTGCCGGAGCCCCAGCGCTGGATGCACCGCGGGACGGGGCGCGCCCGGGGGGAGAAACCCCCGCACAGGGGGCACAGGACACCGAGGTTCCAACCCCAGCACAACCACACTGCAAAGGCAGCACGGCTCCCTCCTCCTCTTCATCATCCTCCTCCTCTTCATCATCCTCCTCCTCCCCATCCCCATCCCGGCCGTACCGAACTGGTCGATGCTGCGCAGGTACCCGATGAGCGTCCGGCCGTCCCGCAGCAGCACCAGGTGCTTCTCTGCGGGAAACGAGAGCGGGGCGTCGGGCACGGCCCCCGCGGCTCCGCGGCGCACGGGGGGCGGCTCGCTACGGGGAGAGGGGACCGGGCGCGGGGCACGACCCGGGGGAGCGGGAGCCCGGGCCCCACGGAGGGGACGGGGCGGGCCGCGCCGGGACACTCACTGTCGATGTCCTGGATCAGGCTGGCCGTGCCGGGCATGTAGTTCATGGTGCCGCCGCGCCCGCAGCGGAAGCGCCGCCATGCGCCGGTGCCGCCGCCGCCCCGGAACCGCCCGCGGCGGGCGGGGCCCACCCGCCGCTGCCCTTTTAAGCCGCGCCGGCCGTGCGCGCGGGGCCGCCGCCGATTGGCCGGAGCGAGAGGGGAGCGGCCGCCGATTGGGCACGGGGAGAGCGGGGGCGTGGCTTTGGCGGCGGCCATGGAGCCCCGCACGGCCGGGCTGGGCCCGCCCGCGGCGGCCGCGCAGGTAACGGGGGCGAGGGGCGGGCACGGGACCGGACACGGGATCGGACACGGGATCGGACACGGCCCCGGGGAGGGCACGGCCCTCGGGAAGGGCACGGCCCCCGGGGCGGGCGGGCAGCGCTCAGCCCGGCCCTGCCCCGGTAACGGCCCGCAGGGCGGTCCCCGGCCGGCCCAGCCCGGAGCCTCCCAGCCCCGCCGGTTCTCGTGGCTCTGCTCGCGGCCCCTCCGGGCGTGTAACGGGGCGGAGGGGAGCGCGGGGAGGCGCTGCCGGCGGAGCCGCTTCACGGGGACGTTTCTGGGGCGCCTGTGCGGAGATCCCGGGAACCCCGGAGCTGTGCGGAGCGGGAGGGCCCCGGGGCTGGGCATTGCCGGGTCCGGTACCACGGCTGGGCATTGCCGGGTCTGGCCCCGGGGCTGGCGTTACCGGGTCCGGTGTCGGGGCTGGGCATTGCCGGGTCCGGTACCGGGGCTGGGCATTACCGGGTCCGGCCCTGGGGCTGGCGTTACCGGGTCCGGTACCACGGCTGGGCATTACCGGGTCTGGTACCGGGGCTGGGCATTGCCGGGTCCGGCCCCGGGGCTGGCGTTACCGGGTCCGGTGGCACGGCTGGCATTGCCGGGTCCGTTACCTGAGGGGTTGATGGCAGCTGGGTTTCGGGCTGCCGTGTAAATTCCGTGTTTGCCGTGCCGGAGCAGGCTCTGCTCTCCAGCCTCGGTTCGGTTCGCTTCGCTTTGGTTTTTCCTCCGGGCTGTCCGGCTGCTCCGGCCCTTCCATAAATCCCGGCGCACAGGTTGCCCAGCCTGCGCTCCGGGCAGCAGCTCAGGGTGGAGCTCTGCTTCGCCCGAAGGTGCAGGGAGTCATTCCCCGAGCTCCTGAAACCCTGTCCTTCAGCACCCCTCTGCCATCAGGTGGAAACTCACCTTCCCTACACGTCAGTTATGGGATGGATCCAGGTAAATCCTCAGATGTGCCCTGGGTGTGCAGACCTTCATACAGAGACCCACATGAGCTGCAGCTCCAGGAGCTGAACACTGCCTAGCAGAGCTTCTCTGTTTGAGAATGAGCAGTGAGAACTTTCCTGGGGAGTTTTCCATCCTCCTGTTGGTGATGCAGTGCTGGCATTGAATCCTCCAGGAGCTGCTCAGTGTGAGGGGCTGCACACCTCCCCCTGAGCTCAGCCAGATTAGACCAGAAAAGTCTAAAACCGAGGCAGATCAGCTGGAGGGCAAAAGAACCTGCTGGCTAAATGCTGCAGGAAGGGCCAGACCTTGTTCCTGTGCCCGCATCCCTGTCCCATCACCATCCCTGTGCTCTTCCCTTGTCCCCAGGCCATGGATTCCCCCTATGCCAACGGAGCCTACAGCCCCCCGTACCCGCACTACGCCAGCCTGCCGCAGGCACGGGGCTTCTACTGCTCGGGGCCCCCGCGCAGCCCCTACCCCCCGGAGCCCGCCGGCCTCTACCGGCCCCCGTCGCCCGCCCCCGCCTGGAGCTACGTGTCCCCGGAGTGCCCCCCCGAGGGCTCGGCCCTCCGCAGGCAGCAGGTCCCCGCCTACTCCCCGCCGCAGGTAAGGGTGGCTGGCACGGGGCTGTGCCAGGGTGGGGCTGGTCTGGTGGGGCTGGGGGGTGGCCGCGGCTCTTGAGCGCCTTGTCCTGGCTGGTTTTAGTCTTGGCAAAACGGGTGGTCACGGCGTTCTCTGGAGAGCTGGAGCTTTTGGGTCAGAAGGGTGGGAATTGGGTGGCAAAGCTGAGTTGTGGCTGTTCTGTCCAGCTCCCAGGGCTGTGTGAGGGGACAGGGCTGGCAGTGACCCCCTGTAACGCCTGTCCCAGGGCTGTGTGAGGGTGCAGGGCTGGCAGTGACCCCCTGTAACGCCTGTGCCAGGGCTGTGTGAGGGTGCAGGGACCCCCTGTAACGCCTGTTCCTGTCCTTGCAGACCCCAGCAATGCCGGTGCCGCAGTACCAATACGGAGACAGCAGCTCAGGGGTCACGGGGCAGGGCCCGGTGCCGCAGCCCCGAGCCCTGGAGGACTCGTGGGGCCCCCACTCTGGTTTTGGGGTGCAGCCTCGCTACGCCTGGCCTGCCTCGGGGCACAGCAGCCTCTACATGTCGGATTCACACCCGTCCTGGACCGGCAGTGGGACTCCTTCCCACCCTCCCTCCTGGGAGGCACAGGGACAGGTGAGGTCCTGTTTGCACACAGAAGACTCCAACCCGTGGCTGGGATTCTTGTGAAGGACAGGATGTCCTGGGTGGGTCTTGAAATGGGTCAGACAGGCTTTCTCCTGGTTGGATGAGGAGTTGACTCCACGTTTTCGGTGCCCAAGCAGTAGCAGCCCTGATGGGGGCTCAGCCTCCTCCTCTGGGCAGGTGCCCCTTGCTGGGTTGTTGCTTTCTAACGTGGGGAGCAGAGCACAGGTCCCTGTCCCAGCATCCCCAGCCCTATCCAGTGTTGGTGCAGGATGAGAGCAGAAACCTGTGGGTTGGAGAGAAATGCACTTAGAGATGTTTTCTCCCTCTGCCTGCAGGACTGTGTGTACGACAGACCTGAGCAAAGCCCCAGCCAGCACAGTTACTACTCTGATGGCAGCCAGCGGCACTCGGGGCCACTGAACGAGCACAGGGTGGCCAAGCCTGCCCCGTGCCAGCCCCGGGTGCAGTACAGTGCCCAGCCCCAGCTCTACGACCTCGGCCCACGGAAGCCCGTGGCCAGGAGCCAGGAGCTGGGCTTCAGAGCTGCTGAGCAGCCTGCCACGCATCCTGCAGCCCTGCAGCCGGAGATCCAGAGGATCCTGCACGTCATGGGGGAGGCTGAACGGCTGGAGGAAGAGGTGGATGAATTTGTAGGGAAAAAGACAGATAAATCCTACCGGCTGCTGGAGGAGATGTTGACCAAGCTGCTGCTGGAGCTGGATTCCATTGAGACTGGGGGCCAGGACAGTGTCCGGCAGGCCAGGAAAGAGTCTGTCCACAGAATTCAGGCCATACTGGAAAAACTGGAAAGAAAGGGATTGTGAAAGCACACGAGCCACAACACACAGCCTGGTGTTGAGGTTCCAAAGAGTTCTCTTCAATCTCAGCTCTTTCTGCTACGCACTATTGACAATGGAATAGCAATAAGCCCTGAGTTAACAAATCAAATCAAACCCACCAAAAAGCCAGCTCAGAAGCCCAGCCCTGACAAACAGCTCAGCAAAGGACAAATGGAGAGAGGTTTGAAGCAGCAAAAGTATTTAATGAAGATGTTGAAGGAACTGGGCCAAGGATGGAGCCCTGTGGGGTTGTGTACAGAGTTCCCCAGGCCAGGCCCAGTCTCTGGGTGCCTCCTACAGCCACAGCCAGTCTTCAAACACTCGTCAGATGTGCTGCAATGTGCAGCCACCAACCAAGACTCTGGGCTTGTCCTCACTGCCTGTAATTGCAGCTTCAGCTCCCTTGCCATGAGCCCCGTGTGTCCTCATAGGGGTTGTTTGGGTTTAGTGCACTCAAGGAGCAGCACTGAAGTGCTGGAGGGAGGGACTGTGCTGGCACATGTCACATCCTGCTGTTCCTCCTGTGTGGCACAGCCAGTGTGGGGTGTCCCTGTGGGCATGGCAGCAGACTGGAAATCCCCTTCTGCCACTGGAAAGGAGAAGTACAAGTCAAGGCAGGATGCTTGGAAATGATTTCCAGGTCACTCGGGTCAGAATCTCCTGTTTCATGTCCCTCTCCATCCTGTGAGTTCTGTGTCCCACTGTGCAGCACCACGGGGAGGGAACAGCTCGGCCTGTTCCAGCCTCCTGGTTAGCACCTGCACAGCACCTCACTGCTCTGTGTGGCACCTAATAAACCCTGACCAGTTTTAAATGTTATTTTGTAATTGAGATGTCTCAAAGTCTCTTTTTCTTTCAAGAGAAGCTGTGGGGAAGGTTTTTTAACTCAGACCAAAGCTCCAGCCTGGCTGTACCAATGAATAGAACATCTGAGAAGGCTGTTTTGGGGTGCCAGGGTGCCCCTCCCAGGCAGTGCACATTCTCCAGGAGCCTCCAGCTGTGGCTCTAGAGCCAGTGTGGAAGAGGGTCAGGAAGGGATTTCAGATGCCTGGGGCTGGGAGTGCCCTGGCCATGCCCTGTGTGCTGCCAGCCAGCCCAGGCCCTGGAGGCAGCCAGCAGATCCCACATTCCCAGACAGGCTGTGGGCTCAGGACTGACCTTTGGAGCTCGCTGGACGTGTCCATGACCACACGTGGTCAGCTGGATGTCCTGGGACAGGGAAAGGCTCTGCTGCTGCTTTGTTTTGTGTCATGCAGGGAGCAGCCAGGCCAAGCTGTTCCATGCTTCCAGCCTGGCAAGTGCTGGGAGATTCATAATTCACAGTACTCAGGGAGTGCTGCCCTGTGAAGCCACCCCTTCCCCCATCAGCTGCACCATCCAGGTAGGATATTCCTGAGCAGTATTGCTTGTCCTTTGGACGTGTCCATGACCACACGTGGCCAGTGAGCTGGATGTCCTGGGACAGGGAAAGGCTCTGCTGCTGCTTTGTTTTGTGTCATGCAGGGAGCAGCCAGGCCAAGCTGTTCCATGCTTCCAGCCTGGCAAGTGCTGGGAGATTCATAATTCACAGTACTCAGGGAGTGCTGCCCTGTGAAGCCACCCCTTCCCCCATCAGCTGCACCATCCAGGTAGGATATTCCTGAGCAGTATTGCTTGTCCTGCCTCCTTGGCGGAGGGTTATGTAAATCCCTGGAGGAAAGCCCACGAGAGAACACGGAGAAGTGGGCTGGAATGGCAGGTTAGCATGGCAGGTTAGCATGGCAGGGCGTGGGGATCCCGCAGCTCCGTGGGACAGCGTGGCTGCCCGTGACACTCCAGCACCCCTGGGTGGGATTTGTGTGTTTCCCCCAAAGCTGAGCTGGGATCAGGGGTCAGGAACACGTCCCACACCTCAGCCTGCAGGAAGCTCTGCTGTAACCCATCCCTACCTGCTGCCTCTGCCTCCTCCACGCAGGACCAGAGCGCGTCACAGTCTGGATGATCCCAGTGGGGACGGTGTGACACGGGCAGGAGCTGTGTCAGCACCGGCTGCTGCAGGCTCTGCAGGGGCTCCAGCTGCAGAACGGGGGAGCTGAGCACTCCTGACCCTTCTGTTTTCCTCACCCGTCCCTGCTGTGCCATGCTGAGAGCTGGGATAGCAGATCCTGGCAACTGGTTCATCTTGCAGCATCCACTTGCAGCATCCACCCACATCACAACCCCCAAATTAGAAAGTCTGTCTCTGTTTATCGCTGGGCTCATCTCTACAGAAACCAAACTCTTACTCGGGGGTTGCCCGTTGCTTCTCCAGCGGTGCTGGAGTTTCTCAATCACCACAGAGGCTAAAGTGTCACAGAGGGACTGGAAAACAAACATTAAATCAGCACCGCGTGCTTTCTGCTGCAATCACCCCATGCTGGAGTGTTTGTTCATGCCTGGCACGGGGCCGGGTGCTTCCCTGCACCCCAGTGCCCTGCATCCAGCTCGGGGCCACCATCACCCCCACCCGGGCCACTGCCGAGGGCAGGGGTCACAGGGAGGGGGCAGGGAACAGACAGGGAACAGGGTCAGGGAACAGGGACAGGGAACAGGGGCAGGGACCAAGGACAGGGACCAAGGGAAGGGACCAGGGGCAGGGAATAGGGACAGGGGATAGGGATGAGAGGCAGGGAACAGGGACCAAGGAAAGGGACCAGGGGCAGGGAATAGGGACAGGGGATAGGGATGAGAGGCAGGGAACAGGGACGGGGATGAGGGGCAGGGACCAGGGGCAGGGAACGGGACAGGGGTCACAGAGAGGGACCAGGGACAGGGAACAGGGAATGGGACAGGGGTCACAGAGAGGGAACAGCGGCAGGGATGAGGGCAGGGAACAGGGGCAGGGACCAAGGACAGGGACCAGGGGCAGGGAACACGGGCAGGGAACACAGGGAGGGACCAGGGGCAGGGACCAGGGACAGGGGTCACAGGGAGGGACCAGGGGCAGAGAACGGGACAGGGGCCAGGGCCAGGGGTCACAGGGAGGGACCAGGGGCAGGGGCCAGGGAGGGCTCGCAGGCAGGGATGACAGGCAAAGGGCACGGGCAGGGATCGCGGGCAGAGTCGCGGCGCTGCGGGCGGGGATCAGCGGCAGGGGCGCGGGCAGCAGCTCCAGCCGGGCCTGCGGGCACGGACTGCGGGCGCTCCCCGCTCCGCCCCGGCCGTGACGGCGGGGGCGGAGCCGCCGCGGCCGCCCCCGGCCAGCGCCGAGTCCCCGGAGCCGGAGCCCGGCGGGCGCTACGAGGCCGTGGTGCCGCACTGGTTCTACTGCAGGGTGGCGGACTCGCGGGAGCGCTGGGTGCCCTTCAGCGCGCAGGACTCGGAGCGGCTGGAGGCGGCGCACGGCGCAGGTAGGGCGGCAGCACCGGGCCAGGCGGGCGGGGGTCCCGCGGCAGCGCCCGGGGAGGCGGGCGGGGGTCCCGCGGCAGCGCCGGGCCCGGCTCCCTCCGCCCTCTGCTGCTGCATCCCTCCATCCACGCTCTGGGGTCGCCCCAAGGAATGGGCCTGCTGAGGCTGGCGGGGGAGCATCAGGTGTGTGTGTGCTTGGATGCCAGGGAAGAATTCCCTGGGCGCATCTATGGCTTACACCTAGGATGCTAGATTTTCCCTCGAGGAGTTTTAAATTGGGGTTTTTTTGGCCATGTGCCGGCTCCCAGTAGCCGAGCGGATGCATCAAATGGTCTGACCCCATTCAGCCGATGCTGCTGTGAATTATATATAATCATACTGCAAAGCATGCTCCGGTGAGCTGGCTGGGAGGACGCTGCCAGGATGGCAGGAATTCCGCTGGGAGAGTCCTCGCAGCACGGAGCTGTGCCTGCTGTGGGAGCAAGGACTGGAGGTCAGCTCCAAGCCCTGTGCTGAGACCCCTGTGTGCCAAATGTCACCATCTGTGCCACCTGCTGCTGCCACAGGCAGAGCTGCGATTGCCCAAGGATCGCCTCCCGTTCTCCCTCGCCCAGGAAGTTTCAGATTAGAGGCTGTGCTGCCTGGCCCAGCCTGGCACGGGGTGCTGTGCCACCAGCCCAGCCCCACAGGCAGACCAAAAGGCAGCGAAATTCACAGTTTGAGGTCTGTATTGGGGTCTCTGTTTTGGAGAGGAACGCCTTAGAGACAGGACACCCTGGTGCACCCCCACTGTTACACAACGCACGTCCCAGGGCCTCAGTGCCACTTTTACCCTCCAGGCCAGGCAGGGAGAGGCCACGTACCCATGTGCCTAGCTGGAGGCAAGGACAGCGCAGTGCAATGTTTTTATCTCACCTTCTGCCTCTGGGGAAAGTCTGACTCGGGGCATCTCGCCCTGGCAGCGCTCTCTGAACCTGAGTCCAGGGGACGTTGGCACCTGCCCTGGTGGCACTGACCTGCCGGGCCGTGCTGCCCAAGGGTGCTCCAGCCACTGCAGGCCTGAGAGGACTGACTGCAGGCCCCGTTCCCACAGGGAAGGACCAGGATGGCGTGGTGGTGCCCACCTCGGGGGGCAGGTACGACGTGCAGCTGCGGGCGCGGCGGCGCGTGGCCGTGTACTGGGAGGAGGAGGCGGCCGAGGTGCGGCGCTGCACCTGGTTCTACAAGGGGGACAAGGACAACAAGTTCATCCCCTACTCCGAGTCCTTCAGTGAGGAGCTGGAGGTAAACACACCTTTCCTGTTGGTTTCCATCTCGGCTTCTCCGCACACGCTGCCTCTGGTGTCCCAAACCCCGTACAAGGCTGGTGGCAGGGCTGAGGACATGAACTCCAAAGAGGCTTTGGCAGGCATTCCTGCAGCTGATTGATGCAACTGTGAGCTCTGCCGTGGCCTCCCCTTCCCCTGCCCTCGTCTGGCCTCGCTGCATCCTTCCACCACGCCTGAAAGTGCCAGGCTTTCCTTTGGGATGATGCAAATGCAGAGATACATAGGCAGATGTATAAAAATACCCATCTTTGCAATAATCTCCATTCTGCTGTACCAAAACCAGTTCTAAGGGGATGGGGAAGTCTGATGCTGCTGCAAAGTGGGGAGCTCTTAAACACTCTGAGCATCCTGGTGATCCTGGGATGACCCTGCTGCTCCTCCAGCTGATTCCTCTGCTTCTTTTGCAAAGTACTGATAAGAGGTTCTGAAAATTGGGTGGGGAATGTCCCAAGAGGTTGATGGGCATGCTTCCAGCTGACTCACAGTGGGTGTTCCCTTCTGTAGGAAGCTTACATGATTGCCATGACCCTGGGTGAGTGGAAGAAGAAGCTGGAGTCCCCCAACAGAGAAGTCATTATCCTGCACAACCCAAAGGTGAGCAGGGTCTCCGTGGTGACCAGTGAGGACATCCCTTTGGGCCTCTTTGTGCTGTTCCCTTCAAGTGGGTTTGTTCCAAAGGCATTCCACTCCCCTGCCTGTGCCAGAGGAGGGGGCAGTGGCAGCTGAGCCTGCCAGCAGCTCCACGTTTCTTTCCAGCACCTCTGTGGGCAAAGGGCTGGGCCCAGCACGGTCTGGTACCAGCCCGTGTCACCCAGCAGCTGCTGTGGCTGTCCTGCTCCGGGCTCTCTGACAGGCTCTTCTTGTTCCCAAGCTGATGGTTCACTACCATCCCGTTGCCAGCTCCGACGACTGGGTCTCCACCCCCACGGAGCAAGGCCGGCCCCGCACCGTGAAGAGAGGAGTGGAGAACATTGCTGTGGAGATCCCCAACGGTGAGCTGCTGCTCCCTGCTCCCATTCCAAAGCTCTGTTTCCAGCCTGATCACTCACAAAGGCTGGAGGAAGCTGCCACGATGCTTTAAGTGAAATGCACGTCAGAACATTTTGTGCCCAAAGGATCCAAATGGTTTGAGAAACCTCCCCAGCCCCAGCGAGCTGCAGATCCAGGGGAGGGTGGTGAGCTTCCAGCTCCTGTGCAGAGGCAGAGCTGCTGGGAGCTCTGCAGTGCCTGAAATGACCCCTGAGGTCTCGATTTGTAGAGGAGGGGAGTTTCTTTCCCTGCTGGGGACACAGCGCTTTATCACTTACCTTTGTGCTGGTGACTCTCTGGGGCACATGCTGTCCCCATGTCTGCAGCCAAGTGTCAGCTCTGTCCCCTGAGGACGTGTCCCCATGAGGACATCAGGCAGTTGCTCCATTTTCCATGGGTGCCTGCCCTCAGGAAGGCACGTATGCAGGCTGAGGTGTGTGGGAAGCAGAGAACAAGCCCTGGCTGCACCTGGGACCTGCCTGGGAGATGCAGCTCCCAGAGTGGGCTGGGCGTGGGGCAGCTGCACTGAGACCTCCTGATCCTGCTGAACCATCCCTATGGATGGGCAGGGGTGAGGGGCAGTGGGACAAGCCACCACCCCTTCCTCTATTGTCCTGTTGGTCCAGATCCATCCCAGAGCAGGACTAAGGGAAATGTGAGAACTCCCAGCAGCCTTGAGGCGTAAACGCAGGCCAAGTGAGGGTGGCAGGCTCCAGCCCTGCACGGGGCTGCCCCCAGCACCTCTGGGCCCTGCTGGGCGCCGTCTCCCCAGCAGCCGTGCCCTGAGCTGCCCTCCCCTCCTCAGGAGAGCCTCTGCAGATCGACCACCTGGTGTTCGTGGTGCACGGCATCGGCCCCGCCTGCGACATCCGCTTCCGCAGCATCGTGCAGTGCGGTAGGGGCCGAGCTGGGAGGGGAGCCTGGGAGGGAAACCTGGGAGGGAAACCTGGGAGGGGAGCCTGGGAGGGAAACCTGGGAGGGAAACCTGGGAGGGAAACCTGGGAGGGAAACCTGGGAGGGAAACCTGGGAGGGGAGCCTGGCAGGAAAACCTGGGAGGGAAACCTGGGATGGAAATCTGTGAGGGAAACCTGTGAGGGAAACCTGGGAAGAAAACCTGGGAGGGAATCAGGGAGGGAAACCTGGGAGGGAAACCTCACCCTGGGGCTGGCCCACGCTGCCTCAAAGCACCCCGAGCCTGGCAGGCTGCACCCAGTTCTGCAGGCATTGTGAACAGAACGTTCACCGAGCGCCAAATCTGCCTTCTGAAAGGGTTTAGGTGGCTGCTGCTCGTCAGTTTTGCTTCACAACAGAAGCAAATTTGATAAATTTCTGAAAGTTTCTTGTCCTGGCTGGCAGATTAAAGCCCTGCCCCTGTGATGGGGCAGCAAAATCCAGTAAGCACACGTGGCAGGACATGGAGCCTCCCCTGATCTGTAGTTAAAGATTCAGGGACTTAGGGGAGCAGCAGCAGATTAAAGACCCCGGTGGGATTTCCCTGTAATGATCTTTCATCGTATTAAGTGGTGTTGGTGCCATGGGCTGGCCCCAGAGCCTGGTGCATCTCCCTGAGAGCTCTCCTGTTTTGCAGTGAATGACTTCAGGAACGTCTCCCTCAGCATGCTGCAAGCACACTTCAAGAAGGCCCAGGAGCAGCAGCAGGTTGGGCGGGTGGAGTTCCTGCCTGTGAACTGGCACAGCTCCCTGCACTCCACCGGCGTGGACGTGTAAGTGTCCAGCAGGCCAGGGGGTGGCAAGGGGCACGGGCAGCCTCCTGCCCTGGAAACTCCACTGTTCTGATGGAAAAGCAAAGGGAAAGCTGTGAGTTTTTGGGGTAGGGGTGAACAGGGCAGACAGGGACCCCCAGAGCACCTCCCCAGCCTGCAGCAC